ACTATGCAGTGAGCTGATGCAGAGAAGCCCTGCACAGTTTCAGACCCACTTATTATACCAGCCTGTCAATAATTGTGATCAACACAAGTTGTGGAGAAATTGCCCCACAAACATCAAAAGAAAAATACTGACACTCTTAAAGACAGCAAGCTGTGATGGTGAAGAGCAATGTGCTTCAGAAAAGTTCTTTAACACTCATGAAGCTGCTCAGCAGAAATGAAGTTATAAAGTAAAGCATCCTGAGAAAAAAATCCTGTGTTTATTGTAACAACCACACTGGTTTTCTCAAAGTTTGGAAGTGTTTTGTTCACTGTTAAGCTTTTAGGAGTTGATCTCGTAAGGTTTGTCCTATAAAAACAAAGCTGGCCATTATTTTTTATTTTTACTCAAAAAAAATTGTTTATTCGAAAAGACTGTTAACTAAAAACCTTTGTTACGTTTTCTGGGCTAATTCGTAACAGTTCCTTTCATGCCTGTGGACTAATACACTTTTAAATCATCTTCTTCTGAGCAACATCTGAACCACAAAGACACTTTCCTTTATTACGTATAGGCACTGTGGATCCTGGGTCATGTGACAGAGGCATGATGTTTTACTCAGTGAACCTGCATGCCTCCTATTTATGAGATATTTGCACCAGACGCATCAGTGGTGACAAAATAGGGAAAAGAAAAGAACTTCATGAAAAACATTTGGTGAAATTTGTTAAGTAATAGGTTGCCTGTAATTACCGGATGGGTTTCTAGCTTTTTACAGTATAAATACTGCTGGTCTGGTCTTAAAAAACCCAAAACTATTTACATCAAATTCTTCCCAACAGGAAGTCTTGACTGGGTTGTCAGTAACTACCCATCCAATCCACACATGCAAATAAATCCAACCATTGATGTCTATAAATTAAGTAATGTGTAATAATGAAAAATGGAAATGTATTTAATACTTTGTATAAAAGTTGATAATGACAGCTTCAGACCACGTCCTGTATGGAGACACTATTAGCATTTCCCACCATTTCCCAGGCTTGTCTGACTGTTGTTCAGCAAATTGTAAATGTACTTCAGCATGCTTTGTCTTTATCAGTGGGGTGTGGTGAGCATACATACAGGCCATGGTGGTAGAGTCCTATAACTCACGTTATAAAAAGTGAAAGTTCTGCTTATTTCTTCTACCAGAGGAAGAATCAGCTGAAAGAAGCTTACTGTAACAACCTGTGGGACGGAGCCAGGAAGACCTTAGCTACTCTGTGGGACGGACACGGAGCCATCTGGCATGGTAGGACACCAAGGTCCTTCATTTACGATGACACAGTGCTCTACATCCACTGCTATCAGTAACAGCCTCCATTTGGTTAAAGCCAGCACTGTACATGTGTATGAGTTCTCAGTCGTGCTTGAAAAGTTTGTTTGGTTTGTCACCCCTCATCCAACAGGTGAGGTCAGTGCTAACAGCTGATGGAGAGCTTCGTGTAGCCTCTCGTGGGCTTGACATCAAACTGCAGGTTTCGCTTTCTGTCCTCGTGAATCCCGAGAACAAAACACCCAAACACAGGCTAAACCATGTAGTGCAGGGGTGGGCAACTCCAGGCCTCGAGTGCCGGTGTCCTGCAGGTTTTAGATGTGTCCATGATCCATCACAGCTGATTTAAAGGGCTAAATGACTCCTCAGCATTTCTGAAGTTCTCCAGAGGCCTGCTAATGAACTAATCATGTGATTCAGGTGTGTTGACCCAGGGTGGGATCTAAAACCTGCAGGCCTGGAGTTGCCCACCCCTGATGTAGTGTATGCTCTGTGTGTAGAAGCGAGAGCAAACAACCACTCTGCAAATGTTCAGCCATCTTAACAGGACAAGCACAGCTGTACACATACAGTCTGTTCAGGTTACCAGTGTTTGAATTTTGGAATATAGACACAGCAGTTGACTCACCATCGCTGAGACGCTGTGAACAGCCGATGTTGAGGCCACGCGGTGGCTTTGCAGATGATCCCTTTCTGGATGAGTCCTGTCCTTGGCTCATATGACCTCAATAATGATAGCAGGGTGGGGCATAATAGACCACACCCTGGTCGATACCTCGGCTCACGCAATGACTCGTGTGATTAATAGTGGGTCACCAACCCTCACCCGAGAGACTCCATCAGGTGTTTTAGGACTGAAGAATCGCCTTGCAGTGGTGAAACCTCTCCACCAATCAAAAACTCTGAAGAGTGTCTAATGCAGCACCATCTATGCATAATTGATTGATCCCTAATGCTATCTGTGTACTAGGGTATGAGGTTCATGGTATGGAAAAGATTCCCGATGAAGGACCAGCTCTGATCGTGTACTATCACGGAGCCATTCCAGTCGACTACTACTACTTCCTCGCTCACGTTATCATTCAGAAGGGACGGACCTGCCACTCCGTAGCCGACCACTTCCTCTTTAAGATCCCAGGTACTGTACACAGCGACCCATGTGCACACGTTAACACGGAGCACACACTAAACACTTTCCCAGAACGACTGTGTCATCATTCTTCTCCAGATGCTCTTAAACCACGAAACCACTTGTAGGATATTCACTCAGTTTTGGGGGTATTTTTTCGCTGAAAACAAACAAACAAAGAACCCAAATCACATCATTTTCTTAATAGAAAATTTTCATTCAACATACAAAGAAAGAAACTATGTTAGCTATCAGCAGAATCTTTGCAGATCGAGAAGAGGAAGAAATGATGGAGATAAAATATGTTTTTCCAACCGAGGTCTGAAGCTGTTACGTAAATAACAACCTGCACTAAAGACGTCAACACGAGCAAATGATTATTAGTCAGTTTTACATGACATGCATTGAAGGTGTGTTGGCCCACACAGGACCACAGGTGGAAATGTGATGTTTGCATCGCTGGACTAGGTGGTCCTTTGTGATTGGCTGATGTGCAACACAGGAGCGCCACAGACAGAGACTGCTATCTTCATTGCTGTTGGCCTTTTATACCTCAGACTTTCAGTACTCTGGGTCACGCTAGCTACAAAAATATGTGACGTTTGTATTTTTATCTAACATTCCCACTCATTGGATGCACTGGGGATACTTTGAAACATGGCACAGTAAAGTATTGGTGATTACCTGCGACCGTCTGTTCCTTACTCTGTCGTCTTGTCTCATTACTGTAGGTTTCAAATTGCTCTTGGAGGTGTTCAGTGTGATCCATGGTCCTCAGGAGGAGTGTGTTCGAGCTCTGAAGAACGGTCACCTGTTGGCGATTTCTCCGGGAGGAGTGCGGGAAGCTCTGTTTAGTGATGAGACCTACCCTCTCCTCTGGGGCGAACGGAAAGGCTTTGCCCAGGTCGCCATTGATTCTCGAGCGGTGCGTTGTTTCAGTCTAATTTAGTCACATTTCAGCACAGTAATGTTTTTGAACCATCAACAGGCCACAGCAGGACATTCCTGCCCTATTTGATACAAGTGAAACTAAACTTACAAAATGTGACTGTCACATTATTTTAATACTTTATCACTGACAAACAAAACGAACAAACTGGAAGCTGAAGGCTCTGCCTCCCACGCTGCTTTTAAATACTTTAGGAGCTACAAGTAAACCAACAGCCTGAGAGTGAAGTGCTCTAACGGGGTGATACGGTACTAGGAGGTCGTTAAGATGAGGTGGGGGCTGATTATTGTGAGGAGAGGGATTTTAAATTCTGTACACTCTTGTTTGCAAATACATGCATATCTGTGAACTGTTCATCGTACAGCTAACAGTGACAGATCGCTTTGCTCTTGTACAATAAACACGTAGCTTAGAAAGAAAAATCGATTTCTGTTATTAATGTGTTTATGAGCAGCCATCTCATTATAACTGTATATATCGATTCTAATAAAATATTTTACATTTCTAACATGTAATGATAATAATTGTGTGGTAGTACCGTGTCTCTGATCATCTTTGTGTTGCACTCTCTGTTTTTCAGCCAGTAATTCCAATGTTTACTCAGAATGTGCGGGAAGGCTTCAGATCTCTGGGAACGCTCAGTAAGTTTTGACACTCACAGTATTACTCCAGGAAAACTGCTGGTGTCTCGCATCACCCAGGAGTGTTTCTGTTTCAGGATGTGAGCCGGTCTGTTCCCGGGGTTGGGGACGCATGTTGAAGGGAGCACGGCACATATTTGCAACCTATCATTGAAAAAGACTGAAAGTCGTTTATCGTAGTTTTTGATTTGCGGCTGTGTTCTGTTGTAGAGTTCAGGGAATCAAAGTAAGTGTGAATGTTTGTTGTAATGAAGCAGCTGAGTTAAAGCCTTCGTTAACCTAGAACAACACTGTGGAGCTCAGCGGGGCTTGATCACAATAATGATACTGTCCTGTGTAATAATGTATTTTCATACATTTTGTTTCTGTAACAAAGCACTGCTGTCTGAGCTCGTATCGAACACGCTTTCTCTGATGTGTCTATCCAGGATTTTTCCGCTGGCTCTATGACAGATTTCGTCTCCCTATAGCTCCTGTTTATGGTGGATTTCCTGTGAAGTTTCGAACCTTCCTTGGGGATCCCATCCCATATGACCCCAACATAAATGCTGCTGAACTAGCACAGAAAGTGAGTAAGCGTTTGCTTCCTTTCACTCTAACAGCATGGCAGTGCTTTGGTTTGCACTGCAAGGTCCTGGACCTTCTCAGAGCCTTACTCTGTGGACTTTCCATTTCTCCCTGTGTGATCTACTCTGGGTACTCGGTTGGTCATTCAAACTTGGATGTAGGTATGGATGTGACCACCTCCTGGTCCAGGTTCTTCCTCCTCAGGACACGGAGGAAGTGCAGCTGCTGCTGGGCGCAGATGTGGCTGCTCAGAAAGCTGAAGGTAGAGACAGAGTCCACCTGTTCAACACCAAAGCAGCAGGTCCGCGGCTCCGTACAGAGACCTCTGGATAAGGCTTAGTGTTCCCAGCTTGGCCTGTAGCTGCTAACTAACTCTGGGTCGAGCCAAGCGGAGAAATGGAGACAGGCGTGGGAAGACTGCACCAGCAGATTTTCTCATATTCAACTGTCATCGTCTCGGTTTTGAACTTGCTATAATAATTCAAATGTCTTCAGTTGTTAGTAAGTTAAAGTCATCATCGTGTAAACTTGATCTACTGCCCACTAATCTTGTTAATCTTTCGCTCCGCTGTCTTGGCTCGTTGGTCTTTAGATAACACAGTTAGTCTACGTCAGCGGCAGGTTTCACAATATGAACAAACACGATGTCTGCTTGAAATACACGAGGACGTACATGTCAGCTTTACCCTCAGTGAGCAGTCCTTACCTTTAAATCTAGCCTCTCCTCTTCCTCTCCTGCCCCGTCTTTCTCATCTTCCTCCACCTCTGAGTGAAGTTGTCTCGTTCTTTTCTCTCCCTGTGAAATCCAGCATCTGAACCTTGACTGGAAAGATGTCAAAACACCGCAGCCACAACTTCTGGACAGCTGTGGCCGTTCCAGTGTTGTTCCAAAAATAGAAAGAAATGAAATAAAGAAAAACACCGGCCCACTTCAGCCCCTGACAACACACACGACTCTTTTTATGCGACATTATGTCGCTCATAAACCATCAGCACTGCTGTTGTGTTACTGTTCAGGCTCAAATCGCTTTGATGTTTGGAGGCTCGGAGTGATGTAAAAAAAACTCCCCTCAAATCTGTCAAACCAAAAGTAATGAGCTGGTGTTGAAATCTCCCAATTCTTTGAATCTTTGGGCTGAAGGAAGGACAATACTCGGTGTATTTATGCTCAATCAACAATCATTTATTTCCATACAATTCAACACTTATGAGCATTTAAAACCATCATGATGGGGAGAGCTGCCTGAAGAGGGTCACAGCAAGTCTCAAAGTGGTGACGGGTTGCTCAGCTTTTTATACTCTCTAGTGGCCCCCACCTGGTCGTAAAAGACCAAACATCACATTCTTTCTCTGTTACGGCGCCTAATTTATGACCTCGGCTCCCTGTCTTTCTCTGCTCTCCGTAAAGGTGGGGGTATGGAATGTGACTTATCTCTTCTGGCCTAGACACAAAGTCTCCTGCTTACAACCTTCTCCTCATGATTCAACAATTGAGCATGTAACACATTCACAGCAGATCAAGGATACAGAGTGATGCACACTTATCTACTAAACTAATAAGTGAATATGTTCTTTTAACTCAAAAGTATAACGAGAACTAAACTACATACTGATCACACGCTCTATATTAAAGGGTATAATATGATCTACAGCAGTATTCTAATCCAACTACTTTGATTACATATATAAGGTAACATATGATAACAGAATAATCTAACAGTACAGATGTCTCTTTAAAAATATAGGAAGTAAAAGTAGTCAGAAGAATAAATACTCTGAGGAGCAGCAGGCAGGGGTGTCGCTCTGTAGGCCTGCTTAATGGCACTGTTGACTCAGTCCAGTGTCGTCCCCCCCCCCGGTAGGATACTTAACAGTGTAAAGAACTCGTTGGTTATAACTTAATAGCTGATTAAACTGGTGGAGGATGTTTTGCTTTTCCACCAAATGTTAATCTTCAAACAATCTATGTTTGGGTGCCTTGAAAAGCGCCATATACAGTAGATCCAATCCATTGTTATTATTATTTAATGAAATACACGCGTGGGGGGACCAGCGCCGTACGCAGACAGCGCTGATCTCCGACTAATCAAAGCATAAGCAGATATTTTATACCATCGGGGTTAACGCCCCCTCATGCGTCATCAGATACAATATATGCATACCTCAAATCAAAACCACAATGACTTTTACCACAGTTTGAAAAGAACATTATCTCAGATGTTTCCTGTCAACCTTTTGACTGCCGCTATCTCTGTTTGCGTTTTTACTCTGAAGGTGCAGCAAGCAGTCCAGTCTCTGATAGACACACATCAGCAAATCCCAGGGAGCATCCTGAGAGCCTTGTTGGAGAGATTCCACACCAAATACAAAGCCCACTAACATCAGTGACACTACAACAGAGACAAACTGTCCAGTATGTGACCAAACCCACGCATCAGGTGGCTGCAGTCTGCACAGGTTTGGTGCTGATGTGCATCTGAAGTCCTCGATGTTTTTATTGCACAGCTCTGATAGGTATTTTTGTTTACATAGACTCCCTTTTATATATATTCGTATTCGAGACGAATCTGTTGAAATTAAGACTTTATAAGATGCAGTCAGGTTTCATAATAATATCTCTCAAAGGACGGAAAGAAAAGCAAATATTTATTTGAATTCAGACACATTATTGTGACCGTAGATGTAATGTTTTTGTGTTTGTGTGGGAGAAAAGGCAAATGTGTTTATTTAAAAGTGCATTTACATCAACAAGTGATTCATAATGATTTTTAATAAATAAATGTGTTTTGTTGTCGATGCCTTTTGAGTTGATCAGTGATTAGTTCAGACCAATCAATCAATATTTCTTATAGAAAAGGTATGGGTGGATGCTTTATGACAAGAAAAGCTGAACATTAATGTTTCACTACGTCCACCAACCACTGAAGTACTGTATCGTTCTCAAACACTCAGGTACTGCAGGATGTCCTGTCACGCAGCGCTCTCCAACCTTTTTTGCGCCACTGACCGGTTTATGCCAACACTATTTTCACGGACCGGCCTTTAAAATAAAACTAGTACCGAAAAACAGAAGATTTATTCATAACACAGGTGGAAAGACCAGGAAAACCGAGTAAACGATAAAAACGATAACAAAATAACGCTGAAAACCCTGAAAACCAGACATTTCACACCTGAGCCTCAACTCTCGCGGCCCGGTACCAAACGACTCACGGACCAGTACCGGTCCGAGGCCCGGGGGTTGGGGACCGCTGCTGTAACGTATAGAGATGGAAAGGATCCACAGTAACATGCAGCTCTCTGAGGAAAGCTGTGTTGTTTTTTATGTTTCAGTACAGCTGAACACTACTAGCTACAGGCGAGTCTGGATATACAAAGAAAGGACGCAAGGAAAGAGTTCTTAGTTTCTTACTAAGGCTGGTACAGTATTTTCTTTGTATTATTATTATTATTCAATTTTAAATAGAATAGTTAAAAAAAACAAAGCCCTAATGATTTAATTCCCCAAAAACGTTAATGGGAAAATAGGTCTTGGTGCTGGATGACCTCACAGGAAATGACAAATCGGGGATCCGTGTGGAGGGCGAGCGCCTGATGTCCAGGCCTGGATTTATGGGGCCTAACAAATGACATGTAAACGCCACAGTGTGGATTTTTATGTTGCTCGTTTTTGTCTTCACACACAAGAGCAAGAAGCTCTTTCTGAAACTGGAGATCAATGGTGACCAGCTGGTTTTCACTGTTTAGTATTGAGTATCTGGGACTTCTGATTGCACAAAAGTAGACATTTGAATTCTGACTCCCTGACTCAGAAGGTGAAACTGACGGCTTCCCAAAGATGGAGTAAGAAAGGCGTTGGACTGGAAGAACTGCGCTGAAGTTCCAAAGCAATGACTGATCATGAGAAAACAAAGTGTTTAAAGACGATGATGTTGAACATGACGGTGTTTGATTGTTGCTGTAACAATGCAACATAGCCTCTGTTGGTCATATCAGTGTGCACACTGCATGTCAGTTTGGTGATATCAGTTTTACCCCGGGCTCTCAGCTGCTTTGTTATTAACAAATCATTTGTAACGTAAAGTCAAATTTGGTTGTGGTTTGGAGATGCAGTTAGTTTGTGTGTTTGTGTGTAGTTGCTGTATTTTTCAATATCTAAACATGTGAATATTGTGATTCAGCAGGTCTTTTGTCACACTGGTGTCACTGCCAGCTCAGAGACATGTCTCACTGGAGCATTAATGTCTGCACACTGGTTGCCTTTTTCCATGTCACTAGTGTTGAGGTCTAACATGTATTTTTAATGTTTGACAGTGTAAAGTATGTGTTAAACGTTTAAATACTGAGAGCTACTCCAGCCTGTTAATAAATGTCTTTACTGAGATGTTGCTTTGTTTGTTATTTGAGGAATGAGTAGTTCATAGCACAGAGAGTCAGACGATGGATTTATGTTTTTTATTACAAGATCAATAAAGAAGCAAATTACTATGAAACTACTTGTTGCTCTACAGTGAGTGGCGGGAAAAGCAGTGCATGCATCAGCACGGCGATCTGTGACTTAAAACAAGGCATGAGCATAATGAGCTGCTCACCTCAGCAGGAGTATCCCTCCAACTTTACTCCCAGCTTTTAGTTACCTGTTAGGTTAGAGTCCACAGCATAATGTGTGCAGGAGCAGCAGCAGCAGTTCCAGATGGGAGCATCCAGTCCACACGGGTTTCCCTCGGCAATGACACAAAGCGTTCTCCTAAAGGGTAAACACAACTTTTAGCATCACAAGCAAAACATTTTCCTGTGGCTCCAACAGAGGGCTTTGAAACCCACATCAGTCACTGCTCACACCAGGAATCCCCCACCCCCACATCCAAGTTCATAACACAACATCGAGGCCTAATTACTGCACCCGTGCTTGTAAAGAAGAAAACATACAGGAATGTAAACAGAGTTTTTGATGCTTACATTATTTTAACTTTACAAACGAAAAAATAATTTCAACAAAAACTACCAGGATCAATATCATCAGCCCCCCTGATGTTCTTTCTGCAAACATGGCCAAAGAGAGCTAGTTTCATCTGAGAGGACGTGCTTCCTGTCTGCATAATCCATCTCCGGTTGGCTGATTTTCATTGTGTGCAACCTTTTCTGTGCAGGCTTCGAGTGACTCTTTGGTTCCCTGCCTCTGCCGGGCTTGTTCTGTACTGTGTGGCTCTCTTTGAATCTCTTGATGATTCTTCACACTTGGAAATACTTTGATAACTTTGTGCATCCATCTGCTGCAGTGCGAGCACTTCTCAAGGTAGGTTGGCTCAAAAGATGAGCCAGACATACATTTAGACACGTGGAAGTGTTGGAGATTTTTGATTATGTCTTTTGCCATATCTTAGTTGCAATGAATCCGAGCAACTCTGCACACAGCAGCCCGTCCTGTGCTGTCCAGCCCCTTGGGTTAGGAGGTTAGTTGTGTAACACTGATAGCCTGTGATGGTGATTTGATTTGTGGCTCCTCCTGGAGAATCTACCACCAATGAGGTTTTGACTCGAAAATGAAATGAACAAACGTGAGGCCAGATAAATGACCACAGTGTACTTTATTAACTGAATTTTGGTAGTTTGTGTTGCATTAGATTCAAATAAAAATTTACAAAAATCTCATATGTACAAAAAACTCATTTTGATTATTTTTTTTATTATTCTTGAATTATTATTTTTACAATAAAATGTACTTTTCCCCCATTGAATGCTTTCATCACACAATGCAACGTACTGATAAGACCAATATTACTTTGTCTTAAACATGTTTTTTCTTTTGTTAAATACACCACATACACCACATTTATCTTTTTTTCCTCTGTGTTTTACTGTCATATTTATAGCCATCATGGTGGCATCGCACCTCTAGAGACACGCTTCACAGTCAGAACTCAAAAAGAGAGGAATGTTCTTTTTTAACATGTACACATTGCATACATTTATTTACAGATAAGCATTTAAGTTGTTCAGTTCACTATCTGTGGTATTCCATGTTTAACCAACTCTAAACAGACATCTGTACAGAATGATTATACAGGATTGTTTTTAACCTGCTGGTCACTGTGCTTGTACTAAGACTGGACGATCCCGCCTGGAGCTGCTGCTGCTGCACAAATGATGCTGACCATTCAAACTTCATAGTGTCGTTTTTGCCTGGTTCAATAGCTAAATTCTGTATTGTGCTTGGCAGGTATGTCCGGACCACAGCAGCAAAGCTTTGATCTGTTATAGATGATGAATAGAGACAGTCGCTGGACCACAATACTAACAGAAAAACACAATCTATTTATCTCATCTTATAGTGATAGTAGAATATGTGCTCGTCATGTGGAACCACTCCAACAAGTCTTTAAGACTAAATGCAGATATGAGAGTCTTGTGTCTGTGCTTTGGTTACATTTAGCCAACTACAAACATTTTACTTTAGTGGATGGAGACTTTGTAGCCTTGTTTCCCATTACACACCAATAGCAACCTCCCCAAATCTGGCTCCCGGTCAAATATTCTGTTAAGTCTCATGTCAAAAACATGTTGGATCGTCAAACTAAATTGAGTTTTTGCAATGGCTCTATGATTGTTATATTACATATTTAACACGTGTCATGTGTCCCTGATGTTTGTAGACTTTGTCTATGGAACAGACTGGTCAAAAAAATCTTGTGCTATTAATAAATAACCGTTACTGAGAACATCTTACTCACACATGGAACATTGTTTTTCTTAGAGTCAATAAAAGTGCAAGAAAACAAGGAGGAAGAGTAAACCAAGAAACAAACCGCAATATAACTGCAAGCTTTCTATATTTTCTATTGCTTCTTCATTCCTTTATAGCAGTATTGTGCAACTGATGTTACAAATAAACACAGTCTGAGGGGTTTAGATGATGCAGTACTGAGGAACAACTTCTTTGCTAGACTAGTATAAGCACAGTAACTGCCACATATTCTGCTATCGAGTGTAAAAACATCTCTCTCTCTCTTTCACACACAGACACACACGCATGCTTTCCAGTTTAACTAGAAAACTAAGCTGTGCCCTAAGTACAGCCTCATTGTCTCCTGTGTGATGATGTCGAAATGAAGGAAAAATCTAAATAGATTTTATTTTAAGGCAAATTAAACACAGAAAGCAGCTAAAACAAAGTTATGAACACTGGAGCACATCTGGGATTTATAAAATTCCAAATCACAGCGACAGTTGCTTCAAAGCGCTTTATACTGTCAGGTCGACCCTACAATAACACATACAGAGAAAAACCCAACAATCATATGACCCCC